TTCTTAATTTTTACCAATTATTTTTTCCTCTCTCGCTAGAAAAAACATAAGGCTTGAATGTGAGTACTTGTAGACTGCACCTTTAAGTTACAAACATGGAACTGAAATTACTCTGTTAACTTATTTCACGGGCGTCATTCTGGCCATGAAACTACATTTCTAAACACTAGACGTTTTGTGATTACAGGAATCTTGTTACCTGTGCTTCTACAATATCAGGCATAGATTTCATGAATCGATTCACGCTAGAAGTCAAGAGTGTTCCATATCGAATTACTTATCACATGCTGTAAATAAAAGAAAGCAGAAAGTTGAATAGAGACAGGGTTTGTTTCTTATTATTTTATCTACGGTTATTGTAACTAATGTGTTAGTGTAAAGTGTATAAACAAAGATCTAAAGATACGGGTTCGAATCCTGCCAAAAGCTGGGAAATTTTTAAATACTGAGAGCTATTCTGTAGAGGAAATCAAAGCCCTTTAAAACGCGAGCACTACAATTAAAATAACATTAAATGCTTATTTCTTGGAGACAAGCCAGGGTAGAAAGCGTTATTGGCAAACTTGTAAGTTGCAGCTAAAACAATTTTAAGCCAAACATAATTTAAAAAAAAAAACAACTCAAATATTTCAGAGCCAAGTATATTTTAAAAGTACATCTACTGTGTAACAGTGAAGAACTAGAAAATCACGTAACGGGAGTGTGAAACAGCTACGTTTACATAGATTAGGTTCGATTTAAGTCGTCGTAAGGGGAGGCACAGCCCTTCATGAAATATTCAAGGTGGTTGCGGGCGTTGACTACAGAATGTACATACAAGTACTAATTGCCTTCATTGTACCTGATTCTTGTAGAAGCAATACTCTCGAGGTATTAGGCGCACACTTTTCCATTTCTCTGACTTATTCACAGACACAACAGATTCTCATTCCACTCATTCCACATCTACCGAAACATTATTTTAAGTGTATGTAATCAAAACAAAATCTACTGAATTAGTCAAACCACCTCAAAGATGATAAACAAAATAGAGGTTAAAACCTCTTGAATACCTGTATTTTCTCCCCAGAAAATATCACATAATTCTAGACTACCGTGTTGGAATTCTTACAGAAAAAAGATTGTTTATACCTGATTACTTGATTTTATTAATAGTTTAAAAAAAAACATGAGTGTTTTCTAGAACAACGCCAAGTGATCGATTTAGTCTGATCGTGTTGGGCAAGTCGAGATGTAGTTTGGTGCCAGTTGCATAAGCCTCAGGTAAGTATACGACCACTGCAGATGGTCCTAACGTCAAGTTAAATATACGACCACCACAGATGGCAGATGGTCCTAACGTCAAGTTAAATATACGACCACCACAGATGGTCGTACTGTCAAGTTAAATATACGACCATAACAGATTGTCCTAACGTCAAGTTAAATATAGGACCACTGCAGATTGTCGTACCGTCAAGTTAAATATACGACCACTGCAGATTGTCCTAACGTCAAGTTAGATATACGACCACTGCAGATGGTCCTCACGTCAAGTTAAATATAGGACCACTGCAGATTGTCGTACCGTCAAGTTAAATATACGACCACTGCAGATTGTCCTAACGTCAAGTTAAATATAGGACCACTGCAGATTGTCGTACCGTCAAGTTAAATATACGACCACTGCAGATTGTCCTAACGTCAAGTTAAATATACGACCACTGCAGATTGTCCTAACGTCAAGTTAAATATACGACCACTGCAGATCGTCCTAACCTTAAATTAAAAATACGACCACAGCAGATTGTTCTAACGTCACGTTAAATATACGACCACTGCAGTTGATCCTAAACTGAAATTAAAAACACGCCCAACTCAGGTTCGAACTCTGATCGATAAACTCTCCAGTTGCGACGCTAAGCCCACGCTGTGTCCTTCCAACATACATCACGGCACGTGTTAATCACCGAGGCATTGACCCCAGACACCTGTGTAATTAAAATTGCCGCCAGGTATGCAGTGATGGGTGATTTATTTTACAGGTGGCTGGTTAAACACACGTGGACGTGGGGGACAATAACTGACGCCAGACATCGTCTACCCCGGGGGAGGAGGGGGTGGGGGAGATAGGATTTAACTGTGCTCACAGGAAGCTAAAACATTAATAGATTGGACTACACAGACATGAACCACAGCATCGAGTCTAACATGTATCAGCAAAAAGTGTAACGGTACTGGGACAATATATTTTCTACCAAACCAATCGTTCTCTCTTTCTTGTTATACAAACATACATATAAGCTATATATATATATATATATATATATATATATATATATATATATATATATATATATATATATAATTATATATATAAATATATATAAATATATAAAGAGAGAGAGAGAGAGACAAAAAGTGGATAAAGTAGAGTTCCGTTGTTTCTCTGACCTCGGTATAAGTATAAATAATGTATCCAGAATTGAATCAAAACTATACAATTTTCCCCACCCCATTAAAGCATCGCCTCCCCCACCGAGCCGGCCCCACGCCTAGCGCCAGACCTACCCCCGCCCCAAGAGAGACCACGTGACTTAGTTCAGCAGCTAATCCCTGAAACTGGGGTAATGCCGTTTTATTTGTTCGCTTAAAACACCGTCCGTTCCACTCATTGCTCACGCCGACTCTCGTACAATACCAGCACTGAAACAATGGCCTTTCGATATTTTTAGCACTCACGTGACCATTTTCGCAACTCTCGGTGAACGAACCGAAGCATCACACTGGATGGTAGGCTAAAATCTAGTCCTGAAAGTAACCATTAAACTAGTCCAACCTAACGTCAGCTTTAACCTCACGTTAGTACACTTGTACTTTGATAGTTTGTGTTACTGTATACTCAGTACTTGTGAATTTAGGTATACAGTGGCTTCACATGGACGGTTGTCATGGTAAATGAGGGTGTCAAATGCCCCCTCCCCTACCCCCACAATTTTAGCATTTTTTGGTTTGGTATCACCCCTATCCCCAACTATATCATTATTTTAAAGATTATTTTAACAGTTTTGTTTTTCGATTTTTCAATATGATGTCACCCCCCCTCCCCGCCTATGGTGAAATGATGTAACCCGGTGCGTACCGCTCCCCGCATTGGAATGGCTACAACCTTTATATACCTTTGTATTCGTTTATATACCTTTATAAAAAGTGTGATACCAAGTCTAAAATTATGGGATATCTATTCTGGCACTATCCGATGCAATGACTAATAGTTTGTGATATTAAGCCCGTGAATATGTGATAACATCTTTTATAATGCCAGATGCGGTACCGGTAACAGCCTTTTAATATTGCGTTATATAAATAATTTATATTGTTCAGGGGACGTAACTATACCAAAACTCGCTTTATAAAAACCCACATTTTTTTTCGTTGAATAATTTATCAGTCTGACTGGATGTGATTATCATAAATAAGAATTATGCATTTTCTTGTCTTTATTGGTATGAGGAATAAGTTTAATTAATGCATTAAATAGATACAAAATCGTCAACAGCTGTCAAATACAGATTAACTTAAATGTGGGATTTTGTGTGGGATTGTGTGAGTTCGTTTGTGTGAGGGTTGAATTGACCCAAAAGCTTGAAATAAGGGAAATAATTTTTGTAGACTAAGTAAAAGAAAAATACCCTTTTTGAACCTGATAGTCCATGGGGCATGTGAAGTAGAGTTCACCTGTTTCTGTGACCTCGACGTATGAAGGGATAGTGTGGTCAGCACTATGCCCAGCCGCCTTTACTTTCCCTAACGTGAGTTAGGTACCCAAGCTGGGTAGGCTCAATGATTCTGTTGACTTCAACCCGTCGAACTCTACCGCTAGACCACGCTATCCCATGAGTTTTGTAGGCAGCAACGTAAATTTGTTTCAAACTGTTTTCTTCGAAACCAAAAAGTATAGCTTGTCAAATAGAAAAAAAGACGATTGTCTCTGCGAGTTAGCAGGAATAGAGATAACAAACGATGTTTCCATCTTGTACGAGTGTTTGGGTAAGGCGATTAGGGAATACTCGGCAGTACATCATAAAAACTGGGTTGAAATAGTGGGGATTTTCGTAATTCTAGCTAGCATGTTTTTGTGTTTTTATAAGTGACGTAGATAATTCAGGCTTTTCTAACTCTGTATTGATCTAGATGGGGAGCTTTGATGTTTGATATATTTTTAGAGTGGTCTCGAGAGTCTTAAGTTTTTATCAAGGTCTAGAGAAAATTTTATCGTGGTCTAGAGAAAGCATTTTATCGTGGCCTAGAGAAAGTCTTTTATCATGGTCTAGAGAAAGTCTTATATTTTATCGTGGCCTAGAGAAAGTCTTATATTTTATCAAGGTCAAGTTAAAGTCTTATATTTTATCGTGGTCTAGAGAAAGTCTTATATTTTATCGTGGTCTAGTTAAAGTCTTATATTTTATCGTGGTCTAGAGAAAGTCTTTTATTTTATCGTGGACTAGAGAAAGTCTTATATTTTATCGTGGTCTAGAGAAAGTCTTTTATTTTATCGTGGACTAGAGAAAGTCTTATATTTTATCGCGGTCTAGAGAAAGTCTTTTATCGTGGTCTAGAGAAAGTCTTATATTTTTACTGTGGTCTAGAGAAAGTCTTATATTTTATCGTGTTCTAAAGAAAGTCTGTAATTTTATCGTGGTCTGGAGAAAGTCTTATATCGTTGTGTAGAGAAAGTCTTTTATCGTGGTCTAGAGAAAGTCTTACACATGCTATTGGAACAACAACTTAGAATGTTTAATTAACTTTCATATTGATCCTAATGTAGAAAGTTTAACTCACTAACATCCTTTAGGTAATCCAAAATTTGGTGTAGGCTTTGTTACATTCAAAGAATGTGTATGTCTGAAATGTGTTTGCGTGTTGATAGTGCAGATATATTTTAAATTTTCAATCGCACTGGTCGAGACTAGACTCACGGGCACCGAAAATGCTAGAAAATGTTAAAATCTCCACCTTACCTGGCTGATCTCTGAGACGACACTGAGCGGCATGACCAAGACGGCTACCATGAGGTCCGCCACGGCTAGGGAGAGGATCAGATAGTTGGCCACGTTATGCAGGGACCTCTCTAGGATGACGGCGGCGATGACGAAACAGTTCCCGATGATGCAGCACAGAACGAACAGCCCCAGGATGACGCTGGTGATGACGAGGTGCTCGTGGCTGTACACAGTCAGACTCCAGTGCGGGTTGTCCGTCACGTTGACAACCCCGCCGCTGCTGGTCGTGTTGGGGTGGTTGCTGGTGTTGGTGGTGTTGAAGATGTAGGTTCGGCTGACGGCTCCGTAGGATTGGTTGAGATCAGTTACTGGACTTCGTGTGGGTTGGCCCAGCAAATGTATCCCGGTAGTCACGTCATATACTGTCAAGTTATCCATGTTTCTTGATCAACTTCTCTTTTATATGAAATCAAGTAAAAACTTTACTGATTACATTTTTATAGTAATCAGTTAACTAATCACTGTAGAAATTATTTAACAATCGAATGATCACATTTTCAAACACTTTTATTTCCTGGTTAGGTTTGCCATATCGAATTGTAACACAGTTTCACAAAACAACTTGAGGCAGATCTTGGCTTGCTGGATGGGATCCGAATCATTTTCTGGAAAACAAGGAAAAAATTAGGACTTGAATTGGTGGAATATTATTTCAAATATTAGTAACGAACAAGTATTACAGATATTGTGTTGCATGATGATGAAACCAAGTCCGATGGAACGGTCTGGCTACAAACCTTTACTCCCCAGGGGCTACAAACCTTTACTCCCCAGGGGCTCACAAAAGAATAACTCAAGTGAGGCAGTTGACACCACAATGGTATTAGCTACTGTCTGCAGCATGTAGTTAAAACTACTAGATTTTAAAAAGTGGAATCTACATCATTGAATGGACAAAATTGTGCCATGCAATATGTAGATGGTATGATACTAAATATCTGCTGTAAACAAACATACGGAGATTGAGCTTTCAAAGAAAGCGGAGGATTTAGAAATTCCAAATAGCTGTGTATTGTTTACACAGTAAATTTTACTCAGATAGATTTATATCTAGAAAGGCACTACATTTTTATAAGACAGGTACTCAATGCCGACTTTAATGTCAATATTTTTTTAGATACATAAGTCTCTATCACTTGATCGGAAGACATTATTTTAACAACATTGAGGAGAAATATTCTTAAAGACAAGTGATTTTAACCTAAAATTAAGTTTATGGGAGTGGGGGGGGGGGGGGGGGGCATTTAATCACTCGTCTGGTCGTCTCGTCGTCTGGTAAATGTCCAAACTAACACTGAGACACGTGACAACCGTCTTACACAAATTCTAAAATTAGCTTTTATCCCTGTTTAATGTTTCAAATCTAGATCGGTAAAAACTCTTTTCGGCTAGAAGATCATACAAAATGGATCTATTTTTGTTCGAACATTTTTCTAGCTTTTTGAGGAGTTATTTTGTCTAGAACTTTTCATTATTCTTCTAAAACTCAAACCATGAAGGTTAAATGCTGTTGAGTTGAAGCATTCATTCTGAGCAGAAAGGTCACAGAAAACACAAGGCGTGACCGAATTATCCGACTGAACAACCTATATTTTCAGTCTGCTTTAAATGTCGTTTTTTTGCGTTGTTTGGAGAATAATCTCATTTTTTTATTTCAAAAGTTCTACGCCAAGTTAGGATTTAATCACATGACCGAGTGTACCTTAGCTCTTAACGAACCGATGTTAAAACATGTTTATTGCATCGCTTTTTATTATAATCTGCTGCAAATGACACACAATATCCTAAATGAAAACAACGAATTTTTAAAATAATCTTACTACCACGCCTAGCCCTAAAAATGGAGTTACATAAATTTCCGCTGCTTGTTGAATAAATGCGATTTTATTTGGGCCAGTTGGAGTCAATGGCACAACGATGATTTATGGCAGAATAATTCTACTGGCACCTGGCGTAAAAACAACAACAATGCAAATCTCGTGGAACCGGAGGTGCTGTTAGTTACACAAATCATCTATGGGGAGTTATTCAATACAGGCCGTGACGGAAGAACCGGCTTCACGTGGGAGAGAGGGAGGGGATAGGGGGGGTGTGAAGGTTGGTGGAAGGGGAAATTATCCTTTTTTTGATGGCTGCATATTTCATATGTGGTTATCAGTTACTCTTGTTCCTATTTATCGGGTATTCTATGGTCTATTCTATATTATTTGCATATATATATATATATATATATATATATATATATATATATATATATATATATATATATAAACATATATATGCAAATAATATAGAATAGACCACGCTAGTAGCGTAGCTGTGGGTAGGACTACTGAAGAGAAATTCCTCTCGCAAGAATTGATGAAGTCAAATGGTACTAGAATACCCATAGGGCGCCACTGTTTGTGGTCGCGCCCCTGATGAAACATTCTGCACCCTGAACACCTAGGTGTGTAACTTGGTCTCACTTAAAATGTTACGTACCTTATAACATTTGATGCGGTCTTACTTTAAATGTTACAGACCTTATAACATTGTATGTGATGTCACTTTAAATGTTACGTACCTTATAACATTTTATGTGTCTCACTTTAAAAGTTACGTACTTTATAACATTTTATGTGTCTCACTTTAAATGTTACGTACATTATAACCTTTTATATGTCTCAATTAAAATGTTACGGAACCTTGAACATATCATTTTATGTGATCTGCCTTAAAAAGTCCATATTTATGAACAGTTTATTTTATGTCTCGCCCTATCAGCAAGCCACATCCACGCCACTAAAACGTGTTTAGACTAAGCTTTGATAAAAACAAAGAGACAAAAACACCTCGGGTTTTATTGACAAACATTTTTTACATCTGAGTAATAAACCATGCTTTGCGTCGACGTTATCTAAAATTAATGGTTCTAAAAAAATGAAGCCGTAGATTACGTTGTTTATGTTAATTAATTAGTCTGACGTTCCGGCTTTTGTTGTTCGTAGTTTTTGCCATCAAAGTTCAGCGGCCTGCCGGTGAGATTAAAACACTGGTACATTTCAAAGACCCCATCTCTTTATAGAAGTTACATTCAGGCATTAAACCTTTTTTGACGCGGGAACACAATTTTTTATACGCGGAGTTATAACGAAATATCCTTCGTTAATTAAATATTTTTCTAAAAAAAAAACTCATAAAAAATTACGCTTCATTAATTAAGTACTTTCTACAAAAGTCGATTAAAAATATTACACTTCATTTCTCAAACAAAGCGGCAGTGATCTCCCCTAAACTTTCTCGAATATTTTTATATAACACTACGGGGGATGGCAACTCGTGACATAAATATAGTTTTTTTATTAGTTTTTTTCATACTTAAACTTTTAAAAATAGAATAGAATCTCGTAGAAATAAGAATAGCGCACCAAGTGAACGGCAAACAATATGTGTGTAATAGTGCGGAATACTAGTACTTTATAATTCAAGTTCCGGTCACCGGCAAATAATCAAAATTTGAAAGAAGGCAGAGAATTAGAAATGTGAAATTTCGTTATCTATCTGAAACAGTACTCAATTTTTAGGCTTTTGAAAAACCAAAAGTAGAATAAATTCCACTTCTGGTTATCGGAAATCGCTGAAAAGTTGATCCAGAACTACAAATTTGATATAATTCTTATACATGAAATTTCATCAACCTAGCTGTAGCAGTACTCAAGTTATCGTGTTCACAGACATACACACACATATACACACATACACACATACATACATACACACACACAGACATACGGACAAAATTGCAAAACTAAGTTTTTCCGAGTCAGGGATTACAATACTTCCTTTATACTTCGTATACGAGAAAGTAAAAGTCGATTAAAAGTATTACACTTCATTAATTAAGTACTTTCTAAAAAAGCCGCTTAAAAATATTGCACTTAAATTTTTGTGATGGCAATACAAACAATAATTGTACCGTTTAAGTAACCACGAAGGTGTTGGTTTCAGTCGCTTCACGCTGGCGTGTGACCTCCATCGATTAGAGACTTGGATTCGAAACGGGTAGGACCAGTGTTTTTATGGATAAACCCCTCCCCTCCCTCGAGCATATCCACCGTACCCCGCCACGATACAAAATAGAAAAATATTAAATTGAAATAGAAAACATATACCTTAACCTTGTTCACTCACACCCCCATTCGGAAATCGAAATAATTTTCAATATAAACAATCACCTAAATGCTAACGTTGAAGTCATCGAATAAATACCACGAGCCGGCCCGCGGCATAACATACGCCGCTATTTAGTTGTTTCTAATTTTCAATAATTCGTAATTTGTGAATTCGACAGTACCAACGCTGACACTGAAAATATTTCTTTAAAACACTATAAGTAGCTCGTTAAGGACCATAACCCCCCCCCCCCCTTCCTTCCCTCCCCCCCTCCTCCCCCCCCCCTACGTTTAAAATCGTTGGCTCTGCTTGTAAACATTTAGAGTGAACACAGCTCACTAAAACCATGTAGGGGTGGGGAGGTAGGGAGAGCGTTTGCAGCTTGTTTTCTAACGGCTCGAAGAAGAGAATTATATATATATATAGATTGTGTACCTCAAAATCACAGAAATTAATGACTTAAAAGTCATGTTTTCCCGCGGTCTAATACAATAATAAATTTTTTTGTGTAAAATAATCTAAAATATGCCACACTTTAATATGTGAAACATGGTGCTTAAATGAAAAAAAAATTCTTCAGATACCACTCTGGCAGATATAATGACGTAGTTTGAACTGATGATGCTTCAAAATCTGGCCAGCGTGATGTAATCGAAGTTCTGAAGCAAAGGCTCACTCCTCTCGCCCGCAGTTCTTTAATGTGATTATGATGAAAGATGTCATTTCCTCAGATCAAACCAACGGGATGCATGTACGAAATAAATTTGTTAATTTTTTCCAGACTTTGTCTCCTAAGCCTTAGTTTAAGCAAAGCGCATCAGCAGACGTTAGCGTAAGGGAATTAAATCACGTGACGTTGTTGTTGCGCATGCGCAGACTTTATTGTGGTGAACTTTCTACGGTGTTGGTTGAAAGGTTGGAGGGTGTTTTTTTTTTATTTACCTGAAATGGGAAAAAAAAAGATTTATGAAATAGAGCATGGGAATGTGAAAGTGGTTCTTGATATGATATAGGAATGGTCGTATGTGGTAGAGGGGAATGGGTGTGTGTGGTAAAAGGGATATGATGTGTATGGTAGAGGGGAATGAACTTGTGTGGTGGAAATGGACGTGTGTGGTAGAGGGGAATGGACGTGTGCGGTAGAGGGGAATGGACGTGTATGGTAGACAGGATTGAAGGTGTGAGGTAGAGGGGAATGGACGTGTGTGGTCGAGGGGAATGGACGTGTGTGGTAGACAGGATTGAAGGTGTGAGGTAGAGGGGAATGGACGTGTGTGGTAGACAGGATTGAAGGTGTGAGGTAGAGGGGAATGGACGTGTGTGGTGGGAATGGACGTGTGTGGTAGAGGGGAATGGACGTGTGTGGTAGAGGGGAATGGACGTGTGTGGTCGAGGGGAATGGACGTGTGTGGTAGACAGGATTGCAGGTGTGAGGTAGAGGGGAATGGACGTGTGTGGTAGAGGGGAATGGACGTGTGGTAGACAGGATTGAAGGTGTGAGGTAGAGGGGAATGGACGTGTGTGGGTGAGTGGAGAAGACATGACATCACACTTTATAGACTTAACATGCCACGCATGCCGTGGTTTTAACGGTTTTAAAACATGTAATCGTGACGTTGAGGATTTATTGCATTGTCCGCATGACTGCAATATCTCCATTTGTTAACGCTTTGATGTCTAATGGACACGTTGGGCAAGACGGGTAATCAATGCTCGACTTGTGTGTTTTGGTATGTGGGGCGTGGTGTGTGGTTATCTGTGTGGGACGCGGTATGTGTTTAGCTGTGTGGGACGCGGTATGTGTTTAGCTGTGTGGGTCGCGGTGTGTGGTTAGCGGTGTGGGGCGTGGTGTGTGGTTAGGTATGTGGGGCGCGGTGTGTGTTTTGGTATGTGGGGCGCGGTGTGTGTTTTGGTATGTGGGGCGCGGTGTGTGTTTAGCTGTGTGGGTCGCGCTGTGTGTTTTGGTCTATGTGTGGGCGTGGTGTGTGTTTTGGTATGTGAGGCGCGGTGTGTGTTTTGGTATGTGTGTGGGACGTGGTGTGTGTTTAGGTATGTGGGGGGCTGTGTATTCACTTATGTGATGTATATATATATATATCACATATATATATATATATATATATATATATATATATATATATATATATATATATATATATATATATATATATATATATATACATGTCGTTTTAGCGTCATCCACACTGTTGGCGTCGCTTGGTGTGGTGTGCCTCCACTGCCGTGCGACGAAACTATTTGATCTGACATTATGACACAGATGCGAACCAATGACGTCATATGACCCTCAACTTGCATTCCTCTTTAAGAAAACAAAACTGAGCACGTACTAAAGTGAACTCGAGGACGGCATAAATTATTTTGCCCGCAGCAGAACGAACTCCCGAGCAGAACTGAAATTAGATGCGGTAAATGAGAATTGTGTTTTTAGCGCCGTGTGAGGACGTGTGGAGGTGTACATGCGGGGGTTTCCGATCGGTGCGAGTTTCGCTTTCTAATATAAACGTCATTTCCTGTTTCGACAAATTTCATGAAAAGGAAACAAAAAATGTATCTCGCTATATAAGAATACAATAGCAGATTTCCGGGTTTTTCCGTTAAATTTAAGATTCGTGTTACAGCCAAAAATAATTTCCTATTTAGATAAAGATTCAAGTAAAATTGAAAAAAATAAAATAAAAATAAAACGGATTTTTCGCTAGTGTGTCTAATTAATGAATATGATAATCGGATATTTCCGATTATTTTAAGATTGATGTAAACATGTTGTGATGGTGATGGCGGTACAGTAAAGCACACCAGAGAAACAACATTGAGTCTAAGTGATGTTCGCCCCATCTCTCTCCCTTTTACTTAATGTGTTTGACATTCCTAGATTTCCAGCACACAATAGAACATACAAAGATTTGGCTTTAAATAAGATATTCATGTGTTGACGTTTATTTATCAAAGCAACTTTATCCTAATATTATATTATAAAAGTTTATTACCTTTAATGATATGTCTATAATTATACTTTTATTGTATCGCATACATTTATTTTTATATAGTTTCACATCAGAACCTGTATTGTATATGTAGTCATCGACGATACCGGTTTAAGAATATGTAATCTGGTTAATCAAATAGTATCGATACTTTTTCATACATAAATGTCATCCGCGAGATTAAAAAAAATAACTTTGTGATGGTGTGTGTGTGTGTGTGTGTGTGGGTGGGGGGGGGGGGGGGTATTTATTTATAAGGAAACAAAGGTAAATAACTGCAGGGTAGTCTCCCGCTAATCAAACTATACCGCAAGGGGAGGTAAACACTGCCCGGCACGTCACACCCCCACTAGCGGAAGTAACCGACTAAAAAAAAAACTATCACGGAGATTCCACTTCACCATAGACTCTTCCACTGCAGACCGTCGAGACAGTATCTAATGTCCACCGTTATGAAAATGGAATGGTGATTCAGACAGGTTTCACTGAAGCATAAGGGTCGAACCGTATCTACATTTGAAAAGTTGTCGCCCGTGAAAATGAGCTCACGAGTAACTCCCCCCTCGCTTCCTTCTTGTGGCTCACCCCGACCCGCGGCAGTGTCGGTTCGAGGTCGCCATGACACCCGTTGCCATGGCGACCAGCGATGTAAACTAAAATAACGCTTACGTTTCTTTGATGCAGGGAACTTAAAAGGCGCCTTACACGATTCCGCCTGCGATTATTTATTATGACGAGTTGAGGACTTCTGAGTTTAAATCGCTTGCCCGGAGACTGAGAGAGAGAGAGAGAGAGCGAGAGAGACAGAGAGAGAGAAAGATGTATAAAAAAATTAGCTGTTTCCTGAGGTCATCGTGATCTAGAAAGTTCCTGGCCACGACTGAGGAAGCAGATGTTTGGGATAAAAGCAAGTGACGTAACCATGACTGTATTGTATTGATTGACTGAATGACTATTTTTAAAAGTGACTGTAATTTTTTTTACTTGAATAAATATATCCAACTTAAAGAGATTTTTTTTCTTTGTTAAATACTGCCTTTGTTAACTTGTTGAAGTGGGTGTGTTTGTTGATTATAGAACCCAGGCACATGGAAAGGTACCGACTAAATATAGAAGTGTCAGACTCATTAACTTGAACATGTGGCTTTAATTCATATTCTCTTGTTAATTCTTTTTTTTCTTTTTACAAAAAATATATTATACATAAAACTATATGGACATTATAGAATATATTCAGTGGCGTAGCGAGGGGGGGGGGGCGGGGGGGGGGGTGCGGACCGCACCGGGTGACACCATTTAGGGGGGGTGACACCAAGGCAAAAAATAGCAAAATATATAGAGAAAAATGATAACTCCACTTAATTAAGTGATTAATTCAAGTGTTAAAAAGACTCTTAAGAGCAAATTTGACAAATCCCGATAAGGGTGGAGGGGGGAGGGGGTGCAAATCGAAAAATGAAAGTTTGTTGTCGGGCGCCGGAAGGGTCGTTACGCCTCTGGGGGGTGACGCCATTAAGTGCCGCTCCGGGTGACATCCGACCTCTTTACGCCACTGAATATATTTAATTTTGTTTATATTTTAGATATAAAATTATATAGATACGATCAGCTAAATCAGTGACGTAATCTGTAGAGTTACACAGCGGGTTGGAGGGTTGCACTCGGTGACATAAAAATATATGGGTTGACAGTTCAGCGACACCATATAAAAAATTATTCTGTCAAAATTTTCATTTTTGGTCCAGTGCAATAAATTATGCATTGTGAGATGGCGATGGAACACCCACTTTAACACAATAACTCTTAAAAGTAAATTAAGTTTTATAAAAATGTCTGGCAATTCTTTTTGGACAATAAGGCTATGGGGCGGTGGGTAGGGAGGAGGGGTAGGCTTTTAGACCATCGATCCAGACAGAATTTTTAATAGTTGAATATATTTTGGTCTAGACTCTAGACATTAAAGATATCGAACGAAAGTATTTTTAGAATATTTATGTAAAAACCCCAAACCCCCCCTCCCCCCCCCCCCCAACAAATGTGATATTCTCAACAGTACGTAAAACGAAGCCACGAATGTAGCACTGAGGGTAACATTATGTTTCATTGTTCGTAATGTTGCGGCCTTGAAGTTGTGTTATAAAACCTCGCAATACAGTGACGCTATAAAACCTCTCACTACAATTGACTGTATAAAACCTCTCACTACAGTTGGCTGTATAAAACCTCGCAATACAGTCTATTGTATAAAATATCTCAATACAGTTGACTGTATAAAACCTCTCAATACAGTTGACTGTATAAAACCTCTCAATACAGTTGACTGTATAAAACCTCTCGCTACAGTTGACTGTATAAAACCTCTCGCTACAGTTGACTGTATAAAACCTCTCGCTACAGTTGACTGTATAAAACCTCTCACTACAGTTGACTGTATAAAACCTCGCAATACAGTCTACTGTATAAAATATCTCAATACAGCTGACTGTATAAAACCTCTCAATACAGTTGACTGTATAAAACCTCTCGCTACAGTTGACTGTATAAAACCTCTCAATACAGTTGACTGTATAAAACCTCTCACTACAGTTGACTGTATAAAACCTCTCAATACAGTTGACTGTATAAACCTCGCAATACAGTCTACTGTATAAAATATCTCAATACAGTTGACTGTATAAAACCTCTCACTACAGTTGACTGTATAAAACCTCTCTCTACAGTTGACTGTATAAAACCTCTCAATACAGTTGACTGTATAAAACCTCTCAATACAGTTGACTGTATAAAATCTCTCAATACAGTTGACTGTATAAAACCTCTGTGTGGTCTAACTACAGTTGACCTGCCTTGATAAAGTAACGTACATTCCCACAGCTGTCACGGACTAATCTAAACCGATTATGTACCATAATATGTA